TGTGTGCACCGGCCATGACGACATTGGTCACCAAGAAGACAACACTGAAGGCGAAGACGTGGGGCGGTACCTTGATCTGGATGAATTCCTTTTGGAGCTCCTTGATGCTCTCCTTGGTGACCTGGAGGCCGTTGGCGTCGTACCACGTCTCCGTTTGGCGGTTGAGTATAGCTCCGATCTCGTACCCAAGCGAAAGCAGACCCGAGATGACCTGCATCAACACACCCATCAGCATCACCATCAGCACTCGTGTGGGCCACATTCCACCAAGCGCCAGAGCCACCACAAGGCAGCGTAGCGCGTACCTTGACAGAGATCTCAAAGTTGACGGTGGGCCGGGTGTTGCACGTGGTGCCCATGATCTCTGAGTAAAAGTGGATGTAGAAGAGGCCCTCCATGCGCCGGATGCGAATCCAGTTCCGTCGGCTTCCCTTGCCCCGCGTGGGCGCCTCGCCCTCTCGCACCGCGCGAGGCGGCGCCAAGTACATGTCCGAGATCTCCTTCACCACCACCGGGCCGGCCTGTGGTGGGCGAAAAAATAATGATTAATGAATACATAAATAAATAAATAAATAAATTGGCTCACAGCTGAGCGGGCCAAGCCGTACCTGAACGCCGCCCTGGTCGCCGAGAATGGCAGGGACGGCCGCGGCAAACTTCTCGTGGTCCCACTCGACGCTGCCCAGCTTGGCCTTGCACGAGTAGATGGGGTCGACCATGGCGGCCATGGGGTTGTAGGTGGAGTGGATCCGTATTTTGGCGGACTGGAGGTCGGGCTCGATGAAGGCCTTGTACATGGGGAACATCACGTTGGTCACCCGCAGCAGGGCGTCCTTCTGCTTCTTGCTCACCGAATGCATGTCTCGCATGATACTGCCCAGGTACCACCACACGAGGGGGAGAAGCGGCGCAGTGAGAACACACACGCACGAGGCACGACACACAACGCGTTGGATGGAAGCGCACGCACCGCTTGACCAAATCGAGGTGAACGCCGCCCGTGATGGCGACAGTGATGTCTGTGCACGCGGCGAACGATGAGCTTCGTAGGTGCGAACGAGGGTATGTGGGGAGTGTGCGGGGGCGGTGGAGCGTGGCGTACCGAGGAGCGGTCGGATGGCAGGGTTGAGCGCGTAGGAGCCCTCGAGGATGACCACGCGCGATGGCGGAGGAGAGACGCGCGCGAATCCCGTTCGCTTGCGCAGCTCCGGGGAGAAGATGGTCACCTGCATGACAGCGCATGGCTTAGAACACGAACACACGACAGCACGCACGCACGCACACACGACGCATGCACGCACGCACGCAACACATATGATAGAGGCGAGGCTTGACAAACCTGTGGGATTTCGATTTCGTTGCCGGCCTTCAGGCCGGTGAGGGCCTTGACCACGAGATCGAATTCGACGAGCGAGATGTCGTCAAAGTTGCCGTCGATGACGCTGTCCACCCTCACGAACGTCTCCAGCGGCATCACGAGCGCGTCGCCAAGCAGCCTGCCCCCGTGACCCGGATCAGTGCGTGCGGTGTGTGTGTTTGTGTTTGTGTGTGCGTGTGCGTGGGCGTGTGGCGTGTGTGTGTGCGCGTGTGGTGCAAATGTCATGCACACGCGTGGCGTACTCGTGCATCTTGCGAGCAAAGGTGGTCTTGCCAGAGCCGGGCGGCCCAGCGACGCCGACGATGATCACGCGATCCGGGCGCTTCTCCCTCATCTGCACGCACGCGACGTCCGCGCAAACACATCAGCGCACGGACAGCGCAGCCATGAAGGAAAGGAAGAGGAGGAGGAAGAGGGAAGAGGGAAGAAGAGGAGACCATCTCGATGGCGCGAATGGCGTGGAAGAAGCCCTGGTCGAACGACAAGACGTGCGGAATGGCCACAAACTCGTCCACGCCGGTCGAGGCGTCTCGCGCAAGTGTCACGTCGAACTCCTCGCCGTAGAAGTCCGGCTCCGCCACGTCCCTGACCCACCAGTACCAAGCTCGGGTCAGTTGAATGAGATGGAGATGAATTAAAAAGATTGGTGCCCATTTCAAAAAAACGAATGGATGCACAAGAAGGAGAAGGTACAGTGTGTCAAGACCCTCAACTTCGGGCTCTGTCTTCTTCTTGGAGGCTCCGCTGCAGTGGGCGGCCACCAGGCCCGCTTCATTTCTTCTGCGGAGATGGTGTGCTTCGGGGGCGAGATGGCCCTCCAAGATTTGCGTCCTTTGCGCAGCTCGACGCGCAGCACCGCCCTCGATATGGTTCACGCGTTCCATCTCTCTCCTCCGCTTCTTGCCGTCGATAGCTTTGATTCACAACTCCTTTGCCGTTGGTATGCAAACAATAAAAACAGAAACAAAAATACAAAAGAAAAGAGTGCTCATCTTTTCTGTTTTGATGGAGGAACCAGCTGCTCCCTCGGCCGCTACGCTCAACATAAACCTGGGCATCCTGGGACATGTAGATAGCGGCAAAACCAGTCTCGGTATGCAAGCAAGCGTGATTTTTATATTATTATTCTTATTATTTTTGCATTAATCAATTTGCATGTTGATGGCGTTCAGCCAAGGCGCTGTCCACGTTGGCGTCTACTGCGGCGTTCGACAAAAACCCGCAGAGCAAACAGCGCGGCATCACGCTCGACCTTGGCTTCTCGGCCTTCACCACCGACCCATCACCGCGCCTACGCGGTTCGTGGTTCACCCCTCGCACACGCCACCTGTGCCACCACCCATCCCGCTCACACCGGGTGGCCGCTCCTCTAGACGCCGGCTATGACCAGGTGCAGTACACGCTGGTCGATTGCCCGGGCCACGCCTCGCTCATCCGCACCATCATCGGAGGCGCACAGATCATGGACCTCGCACTGCTGGTCATCGACGCCGTCAAGGGCATCCAGACACAAACCGCCGAGGTACTCCCTTGTGTGTGTGTGTGTGTGTGTGTGTGTGTGTGTGTGTGTGTGTGTGTGTGTGTGTGTGTGTGTGGGCTGAGCTCATGAGTGCCCTGCGCAGTGCCTGGTCATTGCCGAGATGACGACCGACCGGCTATTGATGGTGCTTAACAAAACAGACATGCTGCCGGCCGACAACAGGGCCGCGCACGTGAAGAAGGCCGAGGAGCGGGTGCGGCGCGGCCTCAAGGGCACCAAGTTCGCCGAGGCGCCCATGGTCGCCGTCGCCGCCTGTCCCGGAGCCGAAGAGGGCGCACCTCCTCTCGGCATTACTCAGCTCGTACGTGGTGGGTGTGTGTCGTGTGTCGTGTGTGTGTCGTGTGTGTCGTGTGTGCGGTGCGTCGTGCGTCGTGCGTGTCGCGCTGACGGTGCACGCACGTGCGTCAGATTGATACTCTGCGGGAGATGACGGAGCTGCCGCGCCGGTCGGCCGACGGTCCGTTCCTGCTGTCGGTGGACCACTGCTTTCCGGTCAAGGGCCAGGGCACCGTGCTCACCGGCACCGTGCTCTCCGGCTCCGTCAAGGTGAACGACACCATCGAGCTGCCCGAACTCAAAGTGCAGAAGAAGGTCAAATCGCTCCAGGTACTGTGCGTGTCGTGTGTCGTGCGCCGTGTGTGCCGTGTGTGTCGTGTTGCTCACGCTACGTGTGCGGCCTCGTCAAGGTGTTTCACAAACCGGTGCCGAGTGCCAAGCAAGGGGACCGGGTGGGCATGTGCGTGACCCAGCTGGACTCGAAGCTGCTGGAGCGCGGGCTGGCGGCCACCCCCGGCTCGGTGGTCACCATGACCAGCGCCATCGCCGCTCTCCGGCGGATCAAGTACTTCAAGCAGCCCATACTCAACCGCACCAAGTTTCATGGTACGTGCCACAGTCACAGCCGCAGCCAAAGCCAACGCACGACACGCACGCAATGACACACGGGTGATGGCTCACACGGTCATTGCCTCCCGCGCGCGCAGTGACGGTGGGGCACACGACCGTGATGGCGACTCCACTCTTCTTCTCTCTTCCCACTGGCGCCCCGCAGGAGTCTGCCCAGCTGCCGAGTACCTTAAGCTCCTCGCTTGACCTGTGTGTTGTGTGTGTGTGTGTGTTGCGAAAGAGCAAAGAAGCTCACGCACGCACGCACGCACGCTGCAGCCACGTTCGACTTCTCGCACGAGTACCTGCGACAGGACGAGATGCTGGCCTCCACAAGGGAACACCGGGTCGGGCAGCAGTGGGCTCTGCTCCGCTTCGAGAAGCCCATCACCTGCCCGCCCAACAGCCTCCTGATCGGGTCGCGACTCGACACCGACATCCGTAAGATTCCCCATTCCTCGCACCAGGTAGCCCTCTTCTTCCGCCGTCTAAGCGCCCATGTCGGGTGCGTGCGCGTGCAGACAGCAGTGCGTGCCGCATTGCGTTCTACGGTCGCCTGCTCGGCGCCGCCGACAGTCCCGACCAAGGCCTCAAGCTCTACAAGCACAAGCAGCGAGAAGGGTACATAAGGATCCCTCTGCCCGGCCTGGCTCACACACGCTGGCCATCTGTGTGTCGTGTCGTGTCGTGTTCTTTTCACTCGCGCACAGGGTGATCGATCGGGTGCAGGATGAGTATACGGTGATCGGCCGGGGCTTCTTCAAGAAGGAGACGGACCTCACCATCTTCCTGGGTCTCAAGGTGGAGGCCTCCACGGGCGAGGTGGGGGTGCTGGAGTCGCCCTTCGGCAAGACGGGCAAGTTCAAGGTGCACTTCCCCCAGGGCGTGCCCAAGGACCCCAAGGCCAAGCTCCACCTCAAGTACCGCACCTTCTTCCTCGCCAGCGACAAGCGGAAGATCGCCCAGTAGTAGTAGTAGGAGTAGGTAGGGGGTTACCACCACCGAAAAGCTAGAACACGAGAAAAAAGTAGTGGTGTTGATGTTTACTTTACTACATTTTACGATCGATCGCAGTTTCGCTTGGCGTGGCCCGCATTGTTGTTGTGCCGTCGTCGTCTGCGTCGATGATGTGCAGTCCTGTCCTTCTGTTCCTCCTCCCCCTCTTCTTCTTCTTCGCCCTCCTCTTCTAATGATCGCCCTTGGTGGTCTTGGACTCGGTTGAAGTGCGTCTTCCCAGCCCCTCCAGGCAGGTTAGTGATGGGTCGCGTGTCGTCGAGCAGCGACGCGATGCTGGGCAGGCGACTGGCCCGTGGCGGACACGACGCCGCCGAGTCCGACGCAGTGGCCTCCGGCGAGCCGGCGGCGTGGCTTCGTCGCCGCGCCCGCTTGGAGCGGTGACCCTCGTCGATGGACTGGTGTCTGAGCTCCCCTGACGAGGGCGGAGAACGGCCCGAAGCGGTGGCGAGGGCTGTGTGGACCATCCACGCGTTGACCAACTGGTCGTGTTGCTGGTGGTGCGAGTGCGGGTGCGGGTGGGTGGGTGTGGGGTTGAGGAGGTGCTGCAGCGACGAAACGGGTGGAGTGGGCGTGGGTTCGCTGGAGACTGGCGGCGCAGCGGCTGCTTGGGCGCTGGGCGATGTCGGGGCGGCTATGGAGTTGAACAGGGTCAGCGCCGAGTCCCCGTGGGGCGAGAACATCGCCGACACGCTCTCGTGCATCGCCTGCTCCGATCCACCGAGCTCTCTGAACCCCTGCACAACACCGGTAGCCGTCGTCACATGTTAGCCTGGATGCTCTCTCTCTCTCTCTCTCGAGAGAGAGGTTGATTGAGGGTACGCACGTGGATCATTTCCATGATCTTGAGCTGTAGCCCCGCGCAGTTGTTGCCGTACTTCCTCGCTATGGCGTTCTTCGGCGACGACTGCTCTCTCTTGGCACCTCCATCTGCGAGCGACACGACACGCGACATGGAATTGGTGGTGCGGAAGAGCGGCGCGATGAAGGTGGTGTGCGGCCTGCTCAAGTACCTTCCTCGGCCTGCGAGAGGTAGAGCGAGTGCGAGAAGACCTCGATGGGCGACGAGGTCACGGAGAGGTCCGCCAGCGAGCCCAGGGCCAGCTCGCTGCAGGTGAGCCGGAAGCAGAGGGAGAACTTGGTGCCGGAGCGCTGCTGGGAGGTGGTCAGCAGCTTGAGCTTCTTGAAGGTCGCCGTGTACACCCCCGAATGCCAATCGCTCTGTGTGGCGCACAAACGGTCAAACGAGATCAGGTGAGTGCGTGTGCGGTGGAGCGTAGTGCGTGCACGTGTGCGGTAACAGACTTTATATACCTTCTCGAGACGCACGGAGGTGACTCCGTCGATGGAGCGGTCGAGGGTGTCGCCGTTGTCGTTACGCACGACGCTGGCCTCGACGAAGACGCCCTCGCCGTCGCGCAGGGCCCAGTGGAGCTGGCGCAGGGCTTCTCCCGACTCACCGCCCGAGAAAGCTGCGGAAAGTAAGAAGCAAGAAGGTGGGTTAGGAACAGCCAAGCATAAATAGTACCTCACCCACAGTGGCTTACCACACAACAGTCCAAACTTTGTGGGAAACACCCAAACAAATAGCCGTGATCGCACCACCGGTAAAATGAAACGAAAATATTAAAATGGTGCATTGCGATTGGCTGGCACATCAGATGATCACGGCGAGGTCAAAAAAAGTTGACAAGAAAGAAGGATCGGCGTGCCTGCACCGGTGGCTTCTGGGCCAGAAGGAAGTGGCGGGACGATGAGGTAGACCGAGGGGTAGGGCTTCAGCAGGCGCTGGTACACCGTTCGGTTCTGTGGTTGCACCCCGATCTGCAGCATCACCCTGTCACCGCCGCAAGCGGTCGGTAAGCTCTCTTGCGAAAACAAAAAGAGGCGCGGTCAAGCGAAAATTGAGCGCGGGTCGCATACCAAAATAGAAAAGGACATAATAAAATTCGACCAATAAACGACGTCTGACAAACTGACAAAAAAAGTTGTCCCAGATGGCACTGCGGGCGTAGTGGGTGGAGGTAGATTGCAGGCTGGGGGGGAGATCGTACTTGTGTTGGGGGGCGGAAGCTTCTTGTGGGCGTGGCGGTGGCGGTGCTGCGCCCGCTGTGGGTGAATTGGTTGGTGGCTGAGGCTGCGGGCAGGCCGTAAGAGTAGCGAATGGGAGCTGCGGCGGCGGTGGCGACTGGTGGTCAAAGTGGTCGGAGTGGCGGTGGGCGTGCGAGTAGAGATGCGCGGCTGCGGTGGCCATGAGAGATTCGTGTGTAAGGTGCGTCGGGGCGGTGGTCTGGTGGGGAGCGAAGAGCAGAGGCGGGAGAGGCGGTCGGTCGTGTGGATAGCTGAGAGTCGGCGGGCCGCGCGTGAATGCGGGCGGCGGGAGCAAGAGACCAGACAGTGGTGGAGGCACAGATATTGACGTAATCCACCGAGGCTGCATCTGGGGCGAGAGGGAAAGAGATGAGGTAGTCGAGGTCTCTGTGGACGAAGCGCTCGTCCCCAGGAAGGGGTTCATGGGGCCTCGAAGCTTCGGGCAGCTGAAGATGACTGGAGTGAGCTTCTTGAGGAAGATGGGCGTGCGGTAGAGGGAGGTGATCGTGCGTGCGCGGTGAGGGACGGGAAAAGCGAAGAGAATGGCGAAGTCGTCGAGGGCGGGGGCTTTGCGGCCTCTTGGCGTTGTACGCCACCCGGCGGTTCAGCGTTGTTCGCTCCTCGTTGTCTTTGTACGCGGAGACGATCTCCCTCTCTGGTTCTTGTGTGCTCTCGGCTGTTGAGATTAATTGCCACTAGCCACTAAAACACACACCCCCAACTGAATGCCAGGGGACATACCCAGGAAAGTTGCCACCGGGTGGCGTGTTGAGCTGAAACAGCCATTCTCCGTCTTCTCGAAAGCCGCGTGTGCGCTGCCTTTCGGGCAGTCCTTGGAACATCTCCGGGCGGATTTCTGGCCTTCGGAAAGCGCCGCATTTAAGATATCTGGCGTGCCTGAACGGTCGGCCTATCCGCACCCCGGATTCCCAGGCGCGGGCCAACATCACGAAAGTTATTTGAATCATGTCAAATAGAACTCCACGGGGCCGTGAGAAGGAAGCCGTACAACAGCCTCGGCCCGCGCGCTTCTCTCCTCTTCTCCTCTTTCTCGGGCACCGAACCAACCCCCCAAAGAGACGCCCTCCACAGACCACCGCGGACGGCTCGCCCAATAACGGAGTGGTGAACAAGAAGAATTGTACAACACGCGCAGCTGGCGATGATGATAGTGACACGACTCTACATTGCAGCGGTCGCGGAGTGCACCACCATCTCCAGCCCTTCTCCTCCTTTCTCCATCTGGTACGCGCTGGAGAAGAAGAAGGGGTGTGTGTAGTGGGCATATCAATCAATCATACGGTTGGTGTGAAGAGATGAAATGCCCACGCAACACAACACGTAGGGGCAGCAGCCGTGGAGGAAAACGTACAGCTTGTTGGTGGCTTGCGTTGCGTGGCTTTTGTTTCCTCTTCGCCGGAGAAGTGAGTGCTCGTCTCGCCGGGGCGGGAGGGAGGCTCAACGGGCCGGACCTGATCGTGGGCCTGGCCCGCCGGGCGTGTTGACGAGTCGCAGGAGGCCCTTCTCGTAGTCGCCTATCTGCTTGTAGGCGGAGTTGATCTGCAAAAACTTGTCGGCGCAGTCGAGGCAGTTGGATTGCTTGTCGGGGTGATACTGGAGCGAGAGCTTGCGGAAGGCCTTCTTGACGTCGGCCATCGGCGCGCCTCTTGCTATGCCGAGGATGTCGTAGTTGGTCTGGAATTCGTCGTAATCTTTGTCGTACGTGACCTCCATCCCTCGCAGGATGAACACGCCCGCCACCATCGCAATAATCGCCAGCGCAAAGAGCCAGCCCCCGATGGAAGAGGAAGACGATGGAGAAGAAGGAGACGACGACGTCGAAGCGGCACCCGGTTTCCGCTTATCTTGCAGCCGCTTCGTGAGAGATGTGACGTATCGATGGCGTCGCCTCCGAATCGTCCTCTGCCGCTTCGCGTTCTCGTTCTCGTCCTCGTCGGGATTGTTGCGCGCCGACAGCTCCTTGAGCTTGCCCTCCTTGTCCTTCGTCTCGACGTGCTTGAAGTAGTCCTTGGCCGACACGATGCACGACGAAGTCTCGAAGCGGATGATTTCGACGGTGGCCATGAATTGGGGAGTGAGATCGCCCGTGTAGCCCGCCTTCCTGATTCCCTCCTCGATCGCCTCCTTCTTGTTCCATCCTCGTGCGAGAATCGTCTCGGGCGGGTAGACCTTGCTGTACTGCGTTGCACCCACCTTGAAGAGGATTCGAATGCCGTGCTTTCCCACTTCCCAATCGTCGAGTTTTTGGATGGTCTTGTAGGTCTTAGGCAAGATGACGCTCGCCGAGCACCGCAGGTAGGGGATGTCCTCTGCCGTGATGGGATTCTGGCGCGGGTCCTCGAACGCGCTCGCTCGAATGGTGCGCAGGAACTGGTCCGAGTGCAGCTGGACCGGCGTCATCGTGATGAGGGAGCCTCGCGCCTCGAACACGTTCCGCTCCTTCCCTTGCGCATCCACCTTCTTCACTCGCTTGGCCCAGGAGATGCACAGCGGGCACGAAGCATCCTGAAATTCAGGAGGGGCGCATTTCTGCTTCTCCAGATGGCTCACTACCGTGTCGAAGCAGTAGTAACACAACTCGCGAGTCGCCTTCATCTCTTCTCTCCTCCAACGCTTCTTCTTTGCTCCGTTTCCTCTTCCCCGCGCCTCGAATCGATCGACGCTCTCTCCTCCTTCCACGCACACGTGTACAAGTGTGTTTTGGCCTCATTTTCCACTGACCTTCATTTTTCCTGTTATTTTTGACGTCGACACCGTCACTCGAACCCACAAGCTTGCCAGGTCAGTGTTTCACCAGGTTGTGAGTGTTATGACAATGAAGTGTGGAAGACTCATCAGTACGTGGAAACTCGAAGGATTGTGCAAAATCGGAGGTGTCTTATTCACACAACATACGCTCAACATGCGAGCAGGCCGCTACTCTTTTCTGCTGGTTCACAGCCTTGCGAGCGTCCTTGGGCTGGTCAGCCTTGCCATCGGCCTGCCACTGCTCATTCCCTACCACGCCCACCAGGCTTAACTCGCGCCTTTTCGGCCAAGTGCGCCTGGTGGCCCCGCCACACGCAGAGAGCCGGACGATACTTGAGCCAACACGGAAGTGGAGCGTTAGCACCTCAGCGTCATGGAAACAACAACACTTTTACAGGGCGGCTTCCACCGTACGTGATCGTTTTCTTGGTGGCAGCGCGTCTTTGGACGTACTCCGTGCCTTTGGGGTGAACACCGTCTATAAAACGGCAGCAAGGGGTTGTTGGCGATGTGGTTAACGCGGTGGATGGTCGGCGGGTCGACGTACATTGAAACTGTCGTCGAGAGACGTGGTCGGCGCAGAGACCTTGAGGCCCACGCGTGGCAGCAGAGGGATGGAAGCAACGCGCGACGTCGGCCTGGCTGGTCGGTCGGCCGCGATGTCGGACGAAGCGTTCGGCAGAGAGAAGTTCCAGTTGGGCTCGTAGTAGTACAGGCAGGTCTTGGTCTTGTGGAGGGCCAACAGGTTCACAAAGTCCTGGCCCTCGGGGCCGGTGACGTAGGCCGAGCACCAGTTGAGCATATCCTGCACCTCCCGGTGGGTGTACTCGCCCATCGAAGGCGGCGCGCGCTTGAGGAAATCGGCGGCGTGCCACTCGAACTCGTTTGGCAGATAGACCTTTCCTTGCGCCTGTGTGTTGTGTGCGTGTCGTGTGTTGTGTCGTGAGTCAGATGATGGAACGAAGGTGTGGAGGTGGCGACCATGAGTACGTACATGCTTGACGACCAAGTGGCGGCAGAGGCGGTTCTGCGTGGCCTGTCGGAGCTGCTGCGCCACCAGCTCGGGCGTGTAGACCACGATTTCGGGGCTGCCCACCACGAGGTACGAGATGGCAAAGTTTAACAGCGGGTTGGGCTCCAGCGCGAAGCCCTCGAGCTCCTTGGACTTCTTCTTCAGGCTCTTCGCGAATCTGCTCCCCACACCTACGAGATGAAGCAAGCTCAGTCATCACCAATCAGTCTAACAACAACAACAACGGAATCGAGTGCATTGCAAGTGTAACAAACCGAAGATGTCGGGCTTGGACATGCGGGCGCGCAGAACGTGGTACTCGATGTCGAAGAGGGAGAGCGTTGCTCGGCCCACGCGGTAGGCCATCGTCTCCAGGTAGCTGAATCGGGGCGATCCGGCGGATGGAGCCCCCATCTCCACGTGTGCGTGGAGCAAGATGACGTGGTAGAGGTTGAGGAAAAACGTGATCACCTCCGCCCCGTTCATTTCTATCACGCCATAACATTTGGAGGTCAACATAATAACATCATCAAACTAACATGTGTGTTGGAAAGAAGGAATCGCCGAAGGGCTGGTGGTACGCACCTCCGAGATAGACTCGCTGCAGCTCGCTGGTGGCCTTCACGAAGTTCTCATACCTGGGGTCGAGGAAAATGCAGGCCACCGCCTTCTCGCCAAACTCATCCATCAGGAACGAATAATCCTGCGGTTCATGGGCAATGTGAGTGAGGGTTCGCGGCGTCGATGATATCGACAACAAATGGGGCTGCGTACGCGGTAGATCTCGAGGATGCGCGTGAGCAGGTTCTGCGCGACGAGGCACGGCGAACCGGCGCTGTCTCGGGCCGGGTAGATGGTGTTGAGGGCCAGCTTACCGCTCTCCATGGCGTCATCGCCATCGAGCACCTTGGGCAGCACGAGGTGCTGGGGTCTTCGCTGGTGGATGAACGCCAGGTTACTGCTCATGGGCGGCGACTTCTGCGCAGTGCTCGCCGCCGACGGAAGGACTCCCCACAGCAGGAACGACACCGCCGTATCCACCACCTCATCAAGCGTCTGTAGTTGCTCGTGTGCGGTGGTGCGTGTGTCGTGTGTCGTGTGTCGTGTGCGTACGTTGGTGTTAGTGTGACAGATTAAGAGAGAGTGGCTAAGCGAAGATGCAGAGGGAACGAACCTGTGGAATCTTTTGGACCTCCTGCAGCTTGGCGAGGTACTGGTTGACGATCTTCTGCAGGTCCTTCGTCCATTCGTCCTTCTCTGCCTTGTTCTTGGCGCGAATGGTGTGGACCTTTTTGACGTCTAGCCGCACCAGCTGGAACGATCTCGCGGCCTTGTCTCCGTGGTCCCCGCCGGCCTTGACACGGACCTCTCGAATCAAGACCAAGTCCATCGGCACCACCCTGCGCGCAGTGCCGCGACCGAAAAGTCAATCAATCGATTGTCATCACACGCGCACGCGCACACTGCTCGTACCCTTTGACGAAGAATTTGTCGTGACGCTTTCGCCTGGCGTAGATGAGCACGTCGTCAAACAGGAAGAACTGTCGCTCCTGCTCCTTCCCCTTGGGCGACAGCTTCACCAGCATGCCCTCTCGTATGAACTGGCGCCGCGTGGACACCAGGTCAAAGTCCTAGTGGGCAATCATCGTGTGTGAGATCACTATCAACCCAACGCTGCGTTGCATTGTCACAATGTGTAGGGTCGACGCGTACATGCAGGTCGGACAGCTGGTAGTATATGCTGAGGATCTTCTGCAGGTCGGAAGATATGACCTTCTTGGACATGATGTAGGCCGTGACGGTGTTCGTCTCCTTCATGGCCTCCACCAAATCGGCTGCAGAGAGAATCGATTAAGAAATAGATCGCGTTGATTGACGAAAGAGAGAGCGAGCGAGGGAGAGAGAGAGCGCACACACGCACATGCATCAACGCACACGCATCAACACACACCAACACACGCACACACGACACACACACGATACCTCTTGCCGGGTATCCCTCGGGTGCGTTGCCGAAGATCTCCTTGAGCATGGCGTGGTACTTAAGCACGCGGTACAGCGGCTTGCTCATGTAGCTGAATATCTGCTTGCCATTGAGCAGAGGATTTTGGTGTGCTTCCTGCGAAGACGACACGACACGCATACGCGCACACACAGTTTAGCTCAAGTGAGCGGCTCCACGCTCGCGATCGGCCGGCGGGCAGTGGGCGCGGGCACGACACCTTCCAGAATGATCTGAAGGCCGGAATCTTCTTGGCGTGCGAGATGACCGAGAAGGACCGCTCGTAGTTGTCGCAGTACATGCAATACAGCTTGTACCACCGTGTCTGTATGTGCCCCGACACCAACAAGTTGTGAGTTACAACATCGCGGCCATGCCTGTAAAAGTAAGGGCACACACGCACGCACGCCCGCCCGCACGCACCATGGCGAGGAATGTCTTGGGTCCGCTGCGGGCCAGGTCATTGTGTACGCTGGCGAACTGCTTCATCATGTCGGAGTTGACCTTGTGGATGAACTCGGCGGTGGAGACGATCTCCATGGTCATCTTCCGGTCGAGCACCTGGCTCTCGCGCAGCGGCGTGATGAAGGCCCGAATGAGGATGTCCAGGTCGCGCAGGTAGACCGCCTCCGAGTCGATCAGCCTACGGAACAGGGCGGTGATGCGTGACGTCATCTTCTCCTTCAGGCGCGGCTTGAGCGCGACCGCTGCGTCGCCCGCCACAGTCCCCTCGGCCGGAGCGCCCGGCGTCACCGCCGGGTCGTCGCGAGCGGCGGTTCTCTGCACTTTGGCGAGCAGCTGCCCGCGCGAGTCGCCGAGCGCCTCACGCTGGGTGTTGCCCATGAACGACTCGAGCGTGATGAGACCGCTGGTGAGGTCCATGTCGTCATCGGTACAGCTGCCGGTCCCCTGATGACGTTCCTCCTCCACCACTTCTTCGTCTTCGTCGTTTTGCAGGATCTCCCCTATCTCCTTCTCCAGCTCGGTCAGCTCGTCGTAGCCGCTGTCGAGCAGCCTGCGCGGGTCCCGCATCAGCTCCGTCGGCTGGGAGTCGTTGCAGAGCAGCTTCCGGGCCTCGTGGACCTGCGCCAGCTGACTGGCGAGCAGATTCGAGCGCTCCTTGGCCTCGTGGCTGTTCTCACCGCCGGTCTCCGCGGTATTGACGGCGGCGATGGCCTCCAACAGATCGGGGGCCGACGTGCTTAGGTTGCCCGACGTCCTGGCCGAGCCGATACCGACTCGCCATACGCCTAGGGGAGAAGATACATATTTTAAATAAGGTAATAAAATATCTATACATATCCATGTTTGTATCGATGCGTAGCCCCAGACCATCATTTGTAAGAGGGGGCGGGGTGCCCTACCTGTTATGCGGGGTCGCACCCCTCTTTCTTCGGCGGCCTTCCCGCCCCATGAGCTGCGCATATTGATGTGTCGCTGCGTCTCTTCTTGTTGTGTTTCCCTTTCAAACGTACCCGCTGCAGCTTCTTCAATTTCTTTTCATGAGAGGTGAAAAACGCACTGCAAGAAAGGAAAGAGCTCTGATCGGGGCTGTTGCTGCACAGTACGGCCTCCGGTGATGGCTTTCAGGGGGCTGAGACCCAGCCGAGTTCACTCATGCGCTCGTACAGCAGCTCACCGAACCGGTCGTAGCCCCTCGCATTGAAGTGTAGCTCTGCACAACAATAGTGGTTGAGTATTGAAGCGGCGCATTGTGGTGGTGGAGGGGGGGGACTAGTACGGTCCTCGTCCCAGATCTGCCGCCGCTCGGGGTCGCTGAGGCCGAAGTAGGGAAGCAGCGCGGCCAGATCGAAGAACTCGGTCTTCTCCTCTGCCTCGGCAAACCGCCTGCAAGTCGAGTGAACGAGCTCGTTCAGTGGGCACGCAACACAGCGCAGCGCAGCGCAACGCACTTGAGGTCATCGTTGATGCCCTTGCGCTTCTCGGCCATGCTCAGGTACTGGCGTCGGTTCTCCATGTGGTGCTCGGGAATGGAGATGGCCAGCGTGCGGCAGCCGTGCGCGTGCGCCGTCTTGTGCAGGCTGCAGATGGTGGTCGCGATCTGCTCTCGCGTCTCATCGCTCCACAAGTCGTTCGTGCCTATGCACACACCGCACACACCGCACACACCGCACACACCGCACGCACGCGCCGGACGGGTGAGCTCGCTGAAGCAGGGTGCGTTGTGTGTGGCATGGTAACACGGGTGAACGAACCGCCGAGGATGAAGACAAAGTCGAAGCCCGGCACGCGCTGCAGCTGCTGCGGAAGTCGCTCCACCATCTCCGCGGTCGTCTCGCCCGACACCCCCGCCTCCACCACCTGTCCAACCACACCACCACCACAACGCGACGTGATCAACACCTTTCCTCTTTCAAAGTCAGCGGAGGGGGGGGGTTACAACCTGCCAGTCGGGGGCCGCCGACAGGAGCGCCCGAAGCCGAGCCGCGTACGGATGACTGGGGAGTCCCACAGACTGGTAGCCCGCGGTTAGACTGTCGCCGAAGGCCAGCACCGCCCCCCTCCTCACCATCGCCATTTTATAAATAATAAAAATTAGTAATTAATAAGTCCAAAAAGAATGTTGAACCAAAGTCCGGCACAGGCGGGCAAAACATGGGCTTGGCTGAGAAAGTTGAAAAAGCGACGGAAATTGAACTCCGTGGCTTGCGTTTCGCCAACAAGCGAGGGCGAGGTAACCTCACATTAGATGAACTAACTCGGACGGCCGCCACGTCAGAAACGGCTACGACTCCAAAGGCGCGAACTACCCCAAGAAAACCTCGACGGACAGAGGGCCATAAAATCTAAGAAAAGAGAGGAAGGGAAGAAGAAAGAATGGAAACGTGGTTGGAATCAGTGGCGGCGTTGCCGATGGCCACCTCGCAAGAACTGAGGTGGGGCGTCCTCCTCGGCATGGCCATCGGCGGCAGCCTCGTTGCTCTTATCAACTACATACGCGACTGCCGACGGCAACACATTGGTTTCGCCCCCTCTCTTCATTTTTGCATTTTATTTTATTTTTTCATTATTTAGATTCAATTTTGACGTAAATAGATTCAATTTTATTACTTGAATTAAATATCATTTTTGGGTGTAATGCAGACAAGTTGGTGGAGGAGAAGGTGGAGCGCATTTTGGCCCTTGTGGAGGAGCGACGCGGTGAAGTGGAGCGCCGCGTGCGCGAGGAGAGCGGCAACGACGCCACCAAGCAGGCCAAGCCGCAAGAAAGCGCCAAGCCGGCGAGCCCCAGCCCGGCCGCCAGCACGAGCACCACCTCCTCCAGCGGCGCCAGCAACGCCGGCTGGGAGCAGAAGCGGCCCTACGCCCCAGCCTCCTCGTCCCAGGTACTCAGCGCAGTCCTCAATCCCCGCATTTCCGGCGTGCGCAGTGCATTAGTGATCGCTTAGTCGCATTTGCAATGCCTGATGGCGCGGTGGCAGCAGAAGTCGTCTCTCCTCAAGACGGCTACGACCACTCGCTCGTCGCCTCTGGCCTCTTCCGCGTCGGCCACTTCGCCTGCACCACCGTCCTCCTCTTCGTCGTCGTCGTCGTCGTCGTCTGAGTCATCTGCGTCTTCTTCCTCGGCTTCAGGTACCCCATCTACGCCCCCCCCCTGCTGCGATGTACCACCCTCGCAGGCTCCTCTCGGCTGACCAGAGTGGTCCACTCTGTCGCGCGCAGGGTCGCCCACCAAGGGCGAGAGGCCCAAGCTGCAGAAATCGTACAGTACTGCCAGTACGTAAAGCCCCCCCCCTCCACTTCTCCCTCCCACTCTCCGTCCGTTTCGGCCGTCAACACTCACGCCTGTCCAACACACACGATACACACAACACACACACAACACACACACGACACACACACGACACACACGACACACACCAGCCATTTGGAGAGGTGAAGACGAGGCCACATTGCGAAAGAGGTGCGGTCACCTGCAGTGCTTAACCGCGGCAATGCCGGTTGGTTTGTAGTGCTCACCATCGTCATCGTCGTTGATGGGGACTGTGCGTCGGCGCGCAGGCAAAACCTGGAGCGGCAGAGCAGCATGCAGAAGCTGTACGGCATGGAGGCCGAGATCGCCAAGAAGATCGAAAAGAAGACCGAGCCGCTCATTGAGCCCATGTGCAAGTGGCTTTATGAAGTCGTAGGCGAAGAAGGTAACCGCGGCGGGAGCTACTGCTCGCTGACATGCGTGTGTCGTGCATGCCGTGCGTGTCGTGCGTCGTGCACGCCTTAGCGTCCCTTACCCCCGATCCGCATTCCAGCCACCGACCAACAGTTTCCGGACAGTCTCAAGAGCGGCCGCCTGCTGTGCGCATTGATGAACAAACTGTGGCCAGGCATCATACCCGATGTCCACACGCGACCCATTGCCCTCCTCGAGCGGGTACCCTCCTCCCCTCTGCTCTGCCTCTCTGGGCGTGCGCCGTGTGTCTGTCGTGTCATGTGTCGTGTGCGTGTTGCGTGTGGCCCACCACTCATCAACTACTCCGCCTACTCCACGTTCTCCGCAGGAAAACATACAAAAGTATCTCGATGCGTGCGCCAAGATGGGCATCAGGAAGGACGATCTTTTCGGCATCAGCGATCTCTACGAGGAGGTACGCGGCTCGGCTGATCGATCACTTTTTATTTTATTCTATTCGTTCCTCTATGGCTTGCCTTACGTGGGCCTCGCCAGCTGGCCGCCCGCGGCGCCTGGGCTGTCAGTCCTTGTCATCCGAGTGCCGGCCGGCTGGCCATTGGTCACCGGGGATCGTTAATGGGTGAGATTGGCGCAAACGTCACTACTTCTGACAAGTGTAATCATCCACCGTTGGTGGTGCGTGCGTGCGTGCAACGTGTTGTGTGTCGTCTGTCGCAGAAATACCTCGCAGGCGTGGTGCAGAACGTGTACGCCGTGGCGCGCTACGTGCAGCAGCGCAAGTCCTGGGTCGGGCCCATCCTCCAACCGCCCGCCGTCGAGAAGGCTTCCGCCGACTGACACCACCACCCACCACGACATGCCCGGTTGGTCCGGTCAGCCGAACAACATCTTCAAGTGAACTTTCAGAGCAACACAGCCCACCCGGCCCTCCCTGGATACGGGGCGACCAACCGCAATCCCCGAACTGGGTGGCTCCACAGTGGCACAGGGGCGCACGAGAAAGTGAGAAGAGGGAGTCGTGCAACTGGCGAGATAGGCGTGTCCACCAGGACCTGGCGCAGCGAGGTCCAGATGCGGTCGTGTCTCGATTCCGGTTGGACGTTCTTCCCCGCATGTGGGCACCACAGAAAGGAGGGGCTACAGTCCTCTTTTCTTTCTCTGTACGCCAGACAGCAGCAGCTCGCTCCGTTCCTCCCCCGATGCGGCATCACCAGCCCGGGTCCCAACAGCCACCACCACTCCCACCTCCCCACTACACCACCTTCACCTGGGCCATGAGTGCGGCGGCCACCTACGCCCCTTCCCCACGACCTCCACCGCCAGCGCCCAGCGAACCCAGGTTTGGCCTTCAATCCCTTCGGAGATCGCTGGCCGAGCTCGAGATTAAGTGGTTTGGTTTGGTTGGTGTTGGGGGGGGGATGTGAACACAGGGCGATGATGCAGATGGGCGCCCAGCCGCCGGCTCGCACGGTCTATCAGCGCGCCCTCAAGCCCAGCCCGTGCGTCTACTTCGTCGTGCCTGCGCTCCCCGCCGTTGGTGCGTCTCGAGAGTGGAGGGTTAGGGTGTACATAGCCCACCCATCCATCGACCACCCTCCACAAGATGAACCAAAAGCGTGCATCCTCACTTACATCCGTGTCACTGTGTTTTGTTTTTACCTCCGCCGCGCAACAGAATCCTCGCAGTTCCAACAGCTGCGACTGCTCCGCCAGACCTTGGACCAGCCCGACGTCGGCGGCGGGGTGTGGGTCGAGGCCGGCCTCGTCGACGAGCAGGGCAACCGCCTCGCTGACTCCCTCGACGGTATCACCGCCGTCCGCCTCCAAAAGGTGCCCGTTTTAGCTCCGAAAAAGAGAAAAGCGATTTTGGGCTGAGGCTCCAGGGTGTGCTCGGCGTGTGCTTAATGCGCTGTACTGTGTTTCCGCGCGTGTTCCACACAGAGCGGGTGGCACGATGGGGTGTACACGGCGACGTTCAAGAAGATCAAGCTTCTCATTACCTCGCAGCAGAAGGCCGGTTCCCAGTTCTGCCTGCGCTTCGCCCTCAAATGCGCCTCGCTCGACCTCGGGCCGCTGGGCGAGATGGCCGTACTGTCCAACCCGATGGCCGTCTTCTCGCACACCCAGTACTTGGGCGGGTCTTCGCCCGGCTCCTCCTCCGCCTCATCTTCATCTTCTTCATCATCTTCTTCTTCGACCATCATCACCCGCAAGTACGCCCACAACCCGGTCGGCCTGCAGCTCAAAGTGATGGAGATGATTCACGTGCGTACAAGCAAAACCCACCCACAACAATGCGTGATGAAGATGAGATGTGGTTTGGTGGCTGAGGGGATTGTGTTTTCTCAACTGTCTTATCTTCTTCTCGTGCGCTTCAATCTTCCAGGCCTGCAAGGATTGGGCGGTTCCGAGGAGGCGCTGCACCAGTGCGTCGCCGCCGTGTTCGCCGACGGCTTCTCCGCCAGCACGATTCCGGAATCTCTACTGGGCCGTTCCACGGAGCCTAGCCGTAACCCAGCAACAACCTCATCATCTGGCGACCCCGCGCGTCCGCCGACAACGCTCTTCGACGCGGCCCACACCCCGATCTCGTCGGTCCCATCGTCATTGGCCGCTCACTACGCGGCCTTTAACAACTGCACCAACGGCCATCGCGCATCGTCGCACTTCCATTCGTCGGCTGACGAGGCGACATTTCTCCCGCCGCCCGAGCCGACCACGTCGTCTCGCGGCAAGAGGCACCGCGGGCTCGACGCTGCCGCAACAACCTCCAGGCCATCAGATCTGGCGGCCCCGATCCAGCCCCAGCCGCTGCTGCCGTCGCTGTCGTCAGCCTTCCACGTCGTGGGGCGCCCGACCACAGTGCCGCCGCTGCTTCCTTCGCTGCCCTCCATCTTCCCCTCCCTCGCGTTCTCGCCACAACCGTTACCTGCTTCGTCGTCAGCAACGCCATTGTCACCGCCGGACGTCGTTGGCGGGCCGGCATCGCTGCGCGGCCTCCTCTCGCTGCTGGGCGAAAAGGTGGCGAGCGACAGCAACCAACGCAAGCACCCGTGGCCAGAGGGCGGCGCCATCGACCACCGGCGACCGCCATCGAGCGCGAAGAGACGGCGAACCAACGCTGGCGCGCGGGCGAGAGCACCCGACAGAGCACAGCGCTGAGTCGCCGCCACACACACACCGGTCGAATGTAAATGAAAAGCACATATCACTGTGCGAATTTGATGTAGAACTAAAACTAAGCAACGGTGGTCTCCTTGAGGCATCGGACGCACTGGCAGACGAAGTTGTACTCGAGGAGGTCGGCCTGGCGTTCGGCCAGCGGTCGGTCGTTCTCGATGTAGCTGTGGGTCAGCTCCTCGCCCTCGGCAATGTCGCACAGTGCCACCACCACCGCCTCCCGATTACGCCCGAACTTGACTTGTGTATTGGGCTCGCACGAATGCTGTGTTGCGTGGTACAGTTCCGGTCAGTTCACCGAAAGTGGGTGGGCGTGTATGTATGGGTGTGTGTTGCGTGTTGCGTGTTGCGTGTTGCGTGTTGCGTGTTGCGTGTTGCGTGTTGCGTGTTGCGTGTTGCGTGTTGCGTGTTGCGTGTTGCGTGTTGCGTGTTGCGTGTTGCGTGTTGCGTGTTGCGTGTTGCGTGTTGCGTGTTGCGTGTTGCGTGTTGCGTGTTGCGTGGCGAAAGGGTGCGTACGTTCATCATGGCCGCAATGGGGAAGAGTCCGAAGCCCTCAAACGGAGGGAACAGCTCCACCGGCTTGTTGTCATCTTCCTCTTCGGCCGTCTCTGCTTCACTGTCCGACCCCCGCTCCGCCTTGCTCTTGCCCTTGCCCTTCCTGTCTCCCTCGTCCTCTTCGCTGTCTTCGTGGTGCTTCGCTTTGGCCTTCTTGTCGTGGGCGTGATGGTGGCCCGAACCGCCGTCGGCGTCTTCGTCCTCGTCGTCGTCATCGCATTCATCGTCATCGCCTTGTATCTGTTCGACCAGCGTGAGCAGCTCCGACATGGCGTTCAGCCTCTCCCAAGTGTTCTGCGTCGTGTGCGCATCGGTGAACGACGGCAGCTCGCCGTTACCCAGCTCGCCCAGAGCCGTTTCTTGCGCCTGTGCCTCCCTGCGGTGACCATCACTACTATTAGCCGTGTGCCGTGTCGTGTCGTGCGTGTCGTGCCGTGTTATGTCGTGTGCCGTGCGTGTGCCGTGTATTCCAGGGGAAGGCCCGCAGGACGTACGAAGGGAAGAGGTGGTCGTGGAGGAGCGTGGCGTAGGTCTGCAGCGGCGACACAATGCGGATGGCGTTCTGGTTCATTTCGAGGAGCCCCAGCAGATGCGAATAAAAGTCAGGCGTGAACAGCTCCGCCAGCGGCCCCTTGCCCTGGCCTGGTGTCGTCAGCGTAGTGTGAGTGGTGGCCGCGTCGCCATCGCCATCGCAGGACGCCACAGTGGTAGTGGCAGTACCTTCGGTGAAGAACGGCGAGGGAGGGAGGAAGAGGGCCATCGCTAGCGACGTGTAGGACTCGTCGAGCAGTTGCTGTAGCATCTCCTGCGAGAACTCATCGTCGTCTTCGTCGTCTTCGTCTTCGTCGTCGCCATCATCGCCGTGGTCGTGCGCGGCTGCCTTGCGCGACTGTCGGGCGGCGGTGATGACCTCGAGCCAGGGGCGGTGGCAAAACGAGTCCATGAAGCGCTGGGCGTACCCCAGATCCAACCC